AATCCCAGCACTTGGGAGGCTGAGGCAAGAGGATCCTTGCAAGTTCAAGACCAGCCTTGGCTACAAAGTGAGCTTAAGGCCAGCCTGAACTGAATAGCAAGACCCAGGCTGTGAGGATAGATCAGTAGAATAAGTGCTTGCCTGGCCAAGTGCAGGGTCCTGAGTTCAATCCCCCGGTACAAAAAACAAAAAAAAAATTACTGAATAGCAAGACCCTGTCTCAAAAGGACAAGGAAGGAGGGAAGAAAGGAAAAGGAAATACTTTGTCTGCTATCCTAAAACTCTGATTAGAGGCAGGATTCTTGGATTATAGCCATAGTTTCTTTCCATGCTCTTCTCCATTTTGCATTTTTTTATAGCTATTTACATCCTTAACTTACTTTGTTCCTATCTTGTGGAGCTTATTACTGGAACCTACAACTGTCCTAAAGCTTTTACTCATTGTCTGTCTTTCTGTTCCTATTTCTTGGTGCGGAGTCGGTGAAGAACCCTGGCAAGTCTGCAAACCTTCCTACCCAGCCATTCCCCACGTGTTCCATTAGGACCCTACCTTCAGAACTCGTACTACTGAGGCTACAATCACAAGGATGGGCCAGAGAGGGCTGCTCCAAAGAGTGTAAAGGAGAACTGATCTTTAAGCAGCACTAGCTATGGGAACAAAGGAAGGTAGTGAGAAAACTAATTGAAATCTGCCTGTATTATTCAGGGAGCCTCACAGACTTGACCTTTTTTTTTTTTTTTTTTCTGGTTTATACAGAGCTGACATTTGAGATCATGGAAGGTTTCTTCAGAAAGGGAGCCAAGGCTTCAGTAGAAAGGGAAATAGAAACAGCTAGGGCCGGGGAGATAGCTCGGTAGAACTGCTTGCCTGGCAAGTGCAAGGGCCTGAGTTCAGTCCCCAGTTCCGCAAAAAAAAAAAAAAGAAAAAAAAAAAGCACACAGCTAGTAGCATTAGGAGCTTTAACAGAAGGTATAATGGATAAATTCAGCATCCTAAGGCTACATGACTAGAACTTCATAGCAATGTGATATGTTTAAAACTGTAGGCTTGGGCCAGGGAGATGGCTTCAGTGATTTTTTAAAAAAAAACAGGTTCTGTTTCAGAAAAATCTGTGGTGCCTATGTGAATGAAAGATGATTTAGGCAAACTCTTTCCAAAGTCTGAACTAAAAACCTGTGTCTGAACACTGGTGAATGCAGAGATAGAACTGTAAAGATTTGATTAAACTCAAGATGATATACTTTCTACAAGATAGGTTTTCATTAAGGAATGAAAGAGAAGGACAATGATTTGGTCATGGGAGACTTCCAGGTAGAAATGTCCAGTGGACAGACAGGGCTGGATTTCAGGAAAAAGGACTAGAGATTTGGGAGTTTAAAAGCAAGGGGGGTGGGAGGCAGGGAGATGGCTCAGTAGAATAAGCGCTTCCCTGGCAAGGGCAAAGCCCTGATTTCAATCCCTGGTTCTGCAAATAAATAAATAAATAAATAAATAAATAAATAAATGAATGAATGAATGAATGAATGAATGAACGAATGAATGAATGTAAAAGCAAGCAGAAGGCTGGGGACATAGCTCGGCAACTTAAGTGCCTGCCTAGCAGGTGCAAGGTCCTGAGTTCGATTTCTGGTACCAAAAAATTAAAAATAAGAGCAAGCACAGCAAGAGGACCAAGGACAGAATGGTGGGGCAGAACAGTCAGACTAAGGAGAATTTTGAAAAACTCTTTTAGAAGCCCAATTTAGTAACTTCTTGCTAAAAGAATGAACTGGTACGATGAAGGCTGGTTGAGAACTGGATCCTAGTTACTTCTAAAGAGGGGAGCTGGTCTAATGACAACCTTGAAAACAGGCATCTTCAGATTTAACAGTCAATAGGTCAGTGAAGGCTCTTCATAGTCCTTACCTATTTGACCTTTTGCCTGCTTGTGTCCCTTCCACTCAGAACCCCGAAGCCAAGACAGGAGACGGCGGCAGCAGCCACTGACCTATAGTTCTACTGCAAGCAGCCTGGCCCCGAGCTCCACCCCTGCTAGTTCTGGCCCAGCCTCAACACGAAGCCTGGGCTCCTGCCTACTGCCCAATTCACTCAGTATATCAGGTCTGTACCCACTGCCCCTGAAATCTGGGTTGGCCAACCGCCTCCCTTCCCTACCACCCAGAGCTTACACCAGGTTGTCAACTAGGTCTGAAGAAATCTCTTTGGCTATGCTGCCACTTAAGCTGAGACTTCCTTTTTGATTTTATGTAATGCAAGCCACTCTAGACTTGGCACATCATTATCCTCAAGGTATCCTAAACCCAAACACTTATGTCTTTATACAGGAGGCTGCAATTTAATGAACTATAAAATAAAAACACTATCTGCCAGGCATAACTTCACATGCTTTTATCTAATTCAACCTTCATTTTTACAATTGAGGAAACTGAAAACTTTTTCTACCTGCCAAGTCTTACTAATTATTCAGATTTCTTGCCTTCAAGGAACAGGGTAACATTAGACAATAATTGAGAATGAAAAAAAAAATGTCTGCCATGTGTCATCACTACAAATGTCATCTTGTCATCCACACAAAACTTAGGCCATCTACTTTAAACTACAAACCCAGGTGTGGAAAGGACTGGATAGCACTGATGGATAAGACTCCAGTCTAATAACTTCTGCCTTACCCAGAGCCACTCTCAGTCTGTCTACTCTCAGTGGGTAGCCTTCAGTACAGGTCTTGGTAGAGTGAACTTGATCCTTAAATACCTTAAAATGTAACTAGGGTAGGCCCAGAGTCTGTAAGTTTACCCATTTATGCTTGGGTAGGTTCTGATTCTAGCCAAAAGTTGCTTCTCCCTCTGCTGAACCAGAATGGAGCCTCACTGGGGTGACTTTGCCCCCGCAGGGAATATTTAGCCCCACCTCAGAGGCATAGTTGGTTGCTACAATGGGGAAAGGCCTAGAGAAGTACCACCATCTAGAATGCTAAATAGCCTACAGTTGGTACCCTGACTCCTACAACAATGGATTATCTGATCCACGATATCAGTAATACCAAGGTGGGGAGCTGGAAGTACAGATCAGTGGCAGTGTTGGCTTACATTGCACAAAGCCATGTGCAGTCCCCTGTTCTGCCATAAACAAAAGTGCCAAGGTCAGAATAACTTCCTCTGTGGCCCCAACCTTGATCATCATTTTCCTATGCTCTCTAGGTAGCAGGTGTTCACTCTTATCTTCAGAAGACAAGCCAGAGTCTGTCATGGTGATTGGGAAAAGCCTGCTAGGAGCTAGTGCTCGGATACCCTGCATCAGGTCTCGACTGCAGGTAACAGATTTGGGTCTTCCTCAGTTCCCAGCCTAACAACTGTGGCAGAACCAAGCAAGGCACTGTTCACCTGGGGAGTGGGAGGGAAGATGCTCAGTCCTGCTTTACAGCTTCTACTTCCAGCCATATCAGAGAGCTGCTCTGATATCCGAGTATGTACGTCCTACCCCAGCCCCATCAGCTGGATGTCTTGCTTGCCTCCAACCCTACTGCCCCTGCCAGATGCACCTCAGCCTGCTAGCTTTGGCTTTCCCTGCCCCTGCCCTTAGCTTCTCCTCTCTTTCTGCCCAGACTTGCTCGAGGAGAGTTTCCGCCAGGAGGGGTCCCGGATTCCCCAGGTAACATCTGGTTGCTGCTCCTAGGAATAGCCTTGTCACCAATCCAGTTCAGTCCAGATCCCTATGCTCATTTAGTTAAAGTCGGGTATACACAGCTGACTGGCTGGGTGAACCCTAAGCAGTTATGGCAGGGGCTGAGGCCTAGAAGGCTCTGAGGGATCTACTAGTCCTTCATCTTTCTACAGTGTTTCTTTACTCAGCCAGACCTTGGTTGGTATCATCTGTCTATGAAGGCTAAATGCTGGATCCTTTTGCCACCACTAGTTACGTAAGACAGGAAAAGCATGGTCATGAACTAAATCCAGGAGCTCTCTGGCTGTTGTCCTCCCTTATCCTGTAAGCTAGGATAATGTCCGAAATTCAGGGTCCTGGTACCTCTGCTGACTCCTATGCTAAGCCCTATGCAAAGAAACTCTAGAAGCCGAAAAGCTCATGGAAGAAGTCAGCCTCTTAGCCTACTCCTGTCCACACAGGGTAGGCCCAGGTTGGGCCGGGGCTCACCGCCAGCTCGCAGAGGGATAAGAGGCTCTTCAGGCCCCACATCCCCTGTCCCCAGGACCAGAGAGAGCAATGAGCCGGAGCCGGGACCCCGCTGTGCTACACCAGGGTGAGCAACAGGGTCCAGTCCTTTGTCCCACTCCTCATTTCTTCCATCAATTCACTCCCATTTCTGCCATTCAGCATAATTTTTTTCCTTCCCTATTCCCTTTGACTAAATGGACTTTCATCAAGAATTCAGTCCCTGACTTTTATTCTATCATGGCCTCAGTCTTCACCTGGAACGATAACAACTTCAGGTTAGGGCCTAAGGCCTAGGAGCTAGCTAGCTGGTTCCAGCATCAGACCTCTGTGTAGTAATCCTACCTGTCCTTAACCATTTTCATCTGTCTTCCTCTTTCACATCCCAGTCCCTGGCTAACACACCAGAAGAGGGGCAGTGTTTCCACAACCCTGATTCTTCTCTCTTCTCTGTTGCAGGCAGCCTCAGGCCGGCCTCCCACGGCCCCGTTCTGCCCCTGCCTTTTCTCCCATTTCCTGTACTCTATCTGATTCCCCATCCCAGACTTGTTACAGCAGGGGTCCCTTGGGCCAAACTGAAGTTTGTTTTGTCCCTAAGTCTCCCCCACTCGTAATTTCTCCCCGAGTCTGAAAATGTTTTTACCTTAAGGCCCAAAGTGGGGAATACAATGAAAAATATGCTAGACCCCTCCCCCTGCTGCTGACTCCATGTGCCAGCCTAACTCGTTGGAATGCCAGCCACACTTTCTGAAGCATTGCAGAGCTTCATGTTGACACAGTACAAAACAGGGATTTAAGACCCTTTCCCTCCCTCCACAGCACAAGAGTTTGGGACCACAAAAAATATATATATTTTTGTATTAGGGAGTAGAAAAGAAAGTAGCCCCCATACTGGGCTCTATTCAGTGGCAGCTTCTTGTTCCATAAGGTTAAGAAGACTTTGAGGAAATAAAACTTGTTTGGAAAATTCCAGGTGTAGTTGCTTTGTATGTTGTGATGGGCAGAAGGGATGAAGTGAAGTGTGAAGGCCCCTCACACCCTCCATCTGGCCTCAGACTATGTCCTGGAACCCTAGAAAAGAGGGGGAAAGACCTGAGGTAAGGAAAATGCTGTAGCTTTCCTCTGGGGAATCCTTCAAGAGTCAACTCCCATCTTCCTGTTCCTTCACGTTTCCAACCCACACTTAAGGTTAATTCCCAAGATTCTTCCACCCTCCTCTGTCATGGGTCTACCACACCAACCCCTAAGACAATACCCTCGGCCTTACATGAAAATAAAAACCTACATCTTTCATCTCCCTCAAAAAAAAAAAAAAAAAAACTGCCAAAATAAAACATCATCAGAGGCAGGCGTGGTGGCGCACACCTGTAAATCCCAGCACTGGGAAGGCTGAGGGAGGACTGCTGGAAGTTCAAGGCCAGCCTGGGCTACAAAGTGAGCTAAAGGCCAGCCTGAACTGCATAGTGAGACCGTCTCAAAAAGGCCAAAAAAAAAACAAAACAAAAACCTCAACAACCCTGAGAAATCAGAGGCTAGAAGAGCTCAAAGCCTCATCCTTGGATGGCACCTCTGTATCTAACCTGTTCCTACCGGTGCCAGCACCTCCTCGTTACCAGAACCCCAGGCAGATGGGGACTGAAGATTGGAAACCCGCCCCCCGGGTCAGGGCACTGCAAGGCACCCGTCATGTGCGGATAACAGGACCTAGTTCTGGACTAGCATGCTTGGCCCAACGATGTTTGTTTTCAAATGTCGTCAGACCCTGGCGCAGCCTCACCACTGAGCTCTCGGGAGCTGGGCGCTAGAGCTCCAGACCGTTACCTGGGGCGGAGAAAGCGCCACTTTCATTCCTGTTTCTTGGGATTGTTGACGGCCACGTAGTGATAGAGAACGACAAGCAAGAAGAGCGACACGCCCAGCATGTTGGCGAATATGGCGAGCTGCACGTCGGTAATCATCCTGCGGAGAAGGGGAGGGGCTGAACCTCAAGACGGCAAATCCTTGCCCTGGCCAGGACCAGTCCTTGCCCCCACGGCCCAGCCACCGCAGGGCAGGCCCCTGAGACCGTGTCTGCGTGCCTCTCACCTGACCAGCTCCACCGAGCTAAGCCGCGGACTCCACACGGCCTACGCACAAGCACCAACTAAACTACCTGCCTGGGCCGGAACTTCGCAGCGCCGGCGGAGTCCAGGCAGGCACTTCCGGCCGGGAGGTGCGACAGAATGACCGCTCTAGCCTCGTCGTCTCGCCTGCTCCAGCGCCGCGCGTAGGGGCGGGGCCACAGGCCAGCCGCTGGAGGTCGTCCCCCCACCCCCACCCCACGAGGCGAGTGTTGGCGGGGTCGCAGAAACGTGCTTCATCCCTGAGCGCCGCAGCTGGCTGCAGCTGGCGCGGCTCCGGGCGCAGTTAGCGAAGCTGTGGTGGCCACCCTGCGGTGCCAACGACTGGCTAGGCTGCAGCGGCCTGGCCGCAGGTCCCAGCCCCCTTCCTGCCCCGACCCCCCGCACTACCGCTCACCCTAGGATTCCGGGCCGGGCCCAGCCAGGTGCTTCCTTTGAGTACTGCGCTCACTGTCCCCTCCTTGGCTCGGGCGGCGGGAACCGAGTGGAAGGCTGCGCAAAGTGGCTCAGGGCTTGGGCTCCTGGTGCTCCTCTTGCCAGGTCAGCTTTTTCGACCCCATCCGAGCTAGTAGGCTGACCCTGACTGTGACGTGACCAATAGTTACTTCCCTTGCACGGGATCCTTCCCTGCACCCCTCTTCTGGAGGTGGAAGTCGGAAAAGGCGGACCCTCCCCAATCAACACCCAAACCGTGGGACCTAGGCCAAGTGGGAAATCACCACTCCCCGGATGTGAGGGAGGGGGTAAGGGAGGAAAGGCGAAGACCAGAAAAGTCTCTGGTTCAGGTCAAAAATGGGATGGCTGCAGTAGGCGGCCCCTGTCTCTAGTGAGGGAGTAGCACCCTGAAGCCCTGCAACCCTCTGCCCGGCTAGAACCTTCTCCCCCTCACTCTTTGCTTTCTCTGAGTACCATAAAAGGGAACGGTGAAGAGCCAGACAGGGCCGGGGGCTGGGCTGTTGCTGGCCTGTCAAGGGTAATAGAAGCCAGTTGCTTTGCGGTAGAGGGGGGCCAGGGCTCAGGGGAGGCCTCTTTTCTCTGAGCCAAAGAAAACTATGGGAGCTGCCATGGGGCACCAACAGCAAGGACAGGGGACCAACGTGCCTCTTGTGTGCACAGTGAGCCGGGATTGCCTATCCCAAATTGGCTTCACTGGCCAGAAACCACCCACAGTTTGTGTCCCATCATCCCCATCCCCCTCTCAGGACAGCGGCTCTTAAACCCGATTCCTACTTTGTTTATAGTTCTCCTACCCTCCCTCCATCTCTCCTTGGAGCCCCCACCATTTCCCAGAAGTTTTATATTTAGAATCCCAAGTGCCTTCCACGTAACACAGGGGGAAACCCAGACATGTTCCCCTTTTCATCCCTTCTCTGAGCTGCTGCTGTGTTCCCAGCTCTGCTTGGAGATAGTGAAGGATCTAGGTCTTAAAGGATTATACATCATTATGCTTCATGTTTCCTGGAAATTTGAAGCAGACCCAAGTCCAGTCAGACACTTAGACCTGCTGCTTGATCGGAACTAGAGTTTCTTTTTAAAATAAGCTGTACCTCCAGGCTGACCCTTTCTAGATTGCAGATTACACAACAGAAATTCTTGGAAAATGCTTCAGATCCAAGACTGTCCTGAAACCAGCTGACCCAGGGAGAGTATCCTACATAACACAGCTGAAAGACACCTTCAAGATCATTTTATAAAGAAGGAAACAAACAGGTGCAGAAGATAACTTAGCCGTGCTTGTATATCTCATGTCAGACTGTGGATTCTAGGATGTCCTAGGGTCAGGGGCAAAAAGGAAAGGAGTGACTTTACAAGTACCCAGAAATGTCCTTCACCTCTCAGAACTTCCTGTGCCTAGGTCAGCCAAGTCTTTATCAGCCTTTGGCCTAGTGCCTGGAAGAACTCAAGTAAGAAATGATCTCCAGGACCAAACAAGACTCAGCTAAGAACTGACAAGGCTTGAAAAAAGCTTGGATAGAAAAGTATGTATGAAGGAAGACAGGCAAAGTGTCTCCTGGGGGAGGGAGAGGGAGATGATGGAGAAATGGGTTGGTTGGTGGAGGGGTACTTATAGAGCTTAATGTCTGATTAGTGTGTTTTCAGGGAAAGGACATGAGGCCAGAAGTTTACTTAGGAGTGAGAAAGCAACAGATCTGGGCCTTCCAATCCAGGAAGGTTGGCTGCTGAAGCTTATATCAGAAAAGAAAAAAAAATGGTTTGCATGTGGGGAGCAGTAGATCTTAGCTCAAGACTCCCACAGGCTTGAACTATCTGAGTTCATGTGGAAGGCCCAATCAACTTGATCCTCCCTTTTTCCTCCCAGTATTTAGTTCTCTGATGGAAGGTATTAGACATAAAATGTTCCCTGTCCTTTTGAAGGCACATGAGTTTCTGCTCAGTCATGATGGCTGAATGAATGAGTTCATTTTGTAGAATGGCCAAGAGTTTGGAAATCCCCTATCTTGAAGAAGTTATAAAATAGATCCTGTCCTAGTGTTCCACAGAGTTGGCCTTTTTTAGTGTTAGCAATTCTTGCCAATTGCTTTGGAAATTTCTGGCTGCCTGCCAATACCATCATCACCACACCATGCCACCATCACTACTGGTTTATTTCAGATCACACAAATGTTTATGTCAGCTCTTAGATCTTGACTCCTAATTATAGAACTAAATGAAATGCAACCAATTGCAATTATATTTCAAAGCCAACATTTTTTTACTTGACATACTTCAACTGTACGTCAACAAAGATGGGGCAGGGTCTCACCATACTGCCCTTGCTGGCTTCAAACTCTTGGTCATCCTCCTGCCTCAGCCTCCTGAGTGCTGGGATTATAGGCTTATGTTACCATGCCTGGCTGTATAATACAACAAAAATATTTTAACTCCAGGGAATAGGAGAGTTGAAATGGGTAGTAAGTGGGCAATGACAAGATCCCTAGGCTGATTTTGTAGGTTGTGAGAGACTCCCTGGGAGGAAAGGAGAAAGACAGAACAGAGAAAACTCCTACTAGCAGCCAGGGTAATCTGGAGGGGAAGTAGGCTGGCTTCCTGCCAGGGCCTGGAACTATTGCAGAGGCCAAGAACAAAGCTACAACTTCACTGACAACCTCTGAAATCAGGATCTCCTGTGAACATTTCCTTGAAGTCTTCTCTTTTTTAAAAATTTTATTTATTTATTTGTGGGGGGGGCAGCTCAGCCCACCAGGGGGCGGGGCTGGCTGGCATGTGGTGCTGGGGGATTGAATCGTGGTCCCTGTTCTTTGCTAAGCTTGTTCTAAGTAGGTGCTTGAGACCACTGAGCCATCTCACCAGCCCCTGAAGTCTTCTCTTGTGCTGGTTCCTAAGCCTCTAAAGAGCAGCTACATATTTTCCATTTCTGTTTGGTTCTAGAGTTTACTCTCTTTGCTCTGACTTTGCATCAGCATTTCTTCCAACCATGAAGGCCATATTCTAGGGCAGTGGACATCAGTAGCAGGTTACCCAGAGTCACACTAAAGATTCAATGACATCTATTCTCATGCCCTCCAGTGCCCTGCAAGTGGTTCCCACAATCCAGGTTAACATTTCGTGTGTGTGTGTGTGTGTGTGTGTGTGTGTTTTGTTTTTGTGGTACCAGGGATTAAACTCTCTCCTCAGCCCTTGTGTTTTGTTTTGAGACAGGTCTCATGTAGTTCACGCTGCCCTTGAGCTCATTGCATAGTCCAAGCTGGCCTTGAACTCGAAGCAATCCTCCTACCTCAGCCTCCCAAGTGCTTGGATTATGGACATGCGCCACCATATTCAGCATCAGTCCACATTTATTTATTATTTGGTTTGTTTGTTTGGTACCAGGAATCAAACTCAAGACTTTGTACTAGGCAAGTGCTGTGCCGCTGAGCTGTATCCCCAGCGAGGTCCACATTTTTAACAATTTCCTGGACATTTAGTTTTACTACAATGTGTTTGTTACACTAATCTTAAATCCAGTATATCCAAACTAAGATCATCTTTCTTTAGACCTGCTGTTCTTTCTATCTTCCTTATTTTGGGTCAAACTCTGAAATCATCCCTGGAGTTTTCATCTGGTCTGTCCCTACCAAAGTGGTCACCAAGCAGTCATATTTTTCCCTTTCTTTTCTTGATCATTGTCACCACCAAAGCCTGTCTGCATCTCTTTGCAGTGTAGAATTTGGAAGGGGCCCTAGAAAACAGACTTTTGATGGTGTCATGGAATTGCTGAAAGTCAGTGCTAGTTGGGGGAGAGTTGTACTTGCAGTAGGAGAGAAGAAATCAAGATAGGTAGAAAATAGACAAGGAAAATCATACTTTTAAAAAATTAAAAGACTTAAGACTACAACTTCCAGGGCACAGTCAGTCACCTAAGACTTTCCAGATTGGCATTCCCTAGACTAATTTTTGTGCTTCTTTTTTTTTTTTTTCTTTCTAACCCATCATACCTAAAATTCTTTAAAAACAGTGCAAGCCTATACAGCTTTGTTAAGAAAGTAAAGGGCAGGAATGTGATTTTTTTTGGGGGGGGGGCAGAGCCAGGAATTGAACTTGAGCCCTTGAGCATGCCAGGCAAGCACTTATTCAGCTGAGCTATCTCCCCAGCCTAGGAACATGATCTTGAGAGAAAGAAATGCAACAAAAAAATTCAAAGAGGGGACTGGAAAGATGGCTCAGTGGAATAAGCACTTCCCTGGCAAGCACAAGGGCCTGAGTTCAATCTGTGGTTCCGCCAAAATAAATAAAGGAAGGATCATTTTTTTAAAAATTCAAAGAATTCTTAGATCATCCATCCAATAAATCTCAAAAACCTAGGCACATGCCTTTCATCAATAAAATGGGCCACTGTCTTCCTGCAGGTGGGCAAGGTAGAACTTTCTATAGACTCAAAAGATTCCATAGGTTTCCTCTCCTTCAAGGGAAATATAAATGTTCCCTATTCCAAGAAATAACGTGCCTCATCTCGGGGTCTGAAGAGGCCCTGAGAGTGCGGCAGAAGTTCCCACTCACGTGGTGGGCTTGGGCTGCTCATCTCCGAAGGATTTTTTTTTGGAGGGGGGGTGGAAGTCGCTCAGGTTGCCTTCAGGGCAGGTCTGGTTTGGCTTGAGGATGAGGGGCTCGAACCACAGCATCCTGAGCCTGACTGCTTTGTTTCAGCCATGCCTCATCTCTGAACAACCTCACATCACTGCTTTTTTTTTTTTTTTTTTAAGTGAAAAGAAAGAAACAATAAAAACTATGATGAATGGGCTGGCGAGATGGCTCAGTGGTCTAAAGCACCTACTTAGAACAAGCTTAGCAAAGCACAGGGACCGCGGTTCAATCCCCCAGCACCACATG